TTCATGTCTCTGAACTGTACCCTTAAAAATGGTTAAAGTACTCAATTTTATGTTATATATTTTTACCGTAATAAAAGAATATATATGCAGATAATATGAGCAAAATAAGGCACTGTCCTTTGCTAGATAAAATGGATTGAAAAGTCGTATGAAATGACTTGTAACAGTAACTTTTTAAATTGTGAAATACTTCATACATACAAAATAAAATGTATAATGTAAATGCAGGTATAAAAATAATGAAACAAACCGTTCTCTTAAAACAGAATATTCCTAACAGTGTTGAGACCCCTGTTGCATCCCCTGGATGACATCCCTCTTCTTCCCTCACCAGGGGTAACTGCCATTCTGAATTTGTGTTTATCATCCCTTACTCTTTATTATAGTATTACAACATTGATATGTAACTCCAAACAATATATCACTTTTCTACTCAGCACTGCGAGTTTCCTCCATGGTGATGTCTATAACATACTCATTGAGAATCATGCTATCTTCTCAATAATTGAAGCTTTTATTATTAAGAAGTGACCCTCTTTATTCCTGATAATGAATTTTGCCTTAAAGTCTCTTTTGTTTGGTATTGGTACATTTACATCAACTTTTTTTCAGGTATTATTTGCTTATCTATATCCTTTTACTTTCAGTCTTTCTGCGTCTTTGTTTTTTAGATGTGCCTATACCTGGATTTTTAAAAATTCAGTTTGATAATTTCCGTATCTTTACTGGCACATTCACACCATTTCTTTTTTTAAATTTATTTTTTAATTGACACATATTAGTTGTACATATTTATGGGGTGCAGAGTTATATTTCAATACATGTGTATAATGTGTGATGATCAAATCAGGGTAATTAGCATATGCATCATTTAAAAAATTAACATTATTTTTGTGATGAGAGCATCTGAGCTCCTCTCTTCTAGCCATTTGAGAACACACAATAAGTTATTGTTAATTATAGATGCCTGTTGCTTTGCATTGCTTTGCCCCGCACGGATTTGTCACCCCACTTCTCCTGGGTGACGGAGGTGCAAAGGATCACTCAAAGCCCATCTCTACTGAGCAGTGAGAGGCCCGGAAGTGGTTAATCTCCCTTTGGGATGCTCAAGATAGAGGCATCCCTTCCTTGGGAAATTAATGCTGAATTGCGGTTCTCTCCCTGCATTTACTTTCCAGACCAGGAAGTTACAGGAAGAGAACAAAGATGTGGTTACAGTTTAACAATATAGGCTGGTAACTTTCAGTGAAACAAGCCAGATGATATTCCAGTAAGGCAATCAAGGGGTTCTATCAACAACAGTTTGATCTTAGCAAACATTCCTTCGATCAGCAATTCTCAGTATCTTTACATGACAATCAGTAACTAGTCTGTCTTGGAGCCAGCAACCTGCTGTGCCACAATTCTTATCTTGCAACAGAGACTTATACCCTGAGGGAAATTTCCAGTCTTCCGCAAGGTCAATATTTGAAACTGCAAGGCTTTGGAAAACCAGGCCCTGGGAGGTACATATGCTTTATAGTATATTCCACATATCCCCCGTTTTATTTATTTAAAAGAAAAATCGAGTTATAGATCAGGTTGGCATAGTTAAAACAAAAAAGCATTTTGTTAAAGCAAAGTTAGTATCAATTAGCATGGCAAGTCCTTTTAATTTACTTCAGGTGAGGACTGGTGATGTCATCATCTCAGGGTGGCTGCAGCTGGCATCACTCCAGCTGCTGTGAATTGGGTGTAATTAGCAATTGTTGAAACTCTGGAATGGTCAGTAAAATAGTTGATTCTGAGTTGAGTGTTTAATGTTAAAAGATGTGGAATATACTAAAAAGCAAATGTACCTCACAGGGCCTGGTTTTCCAAAGCCTTGCAGTTTCAAATATCGACCTTGTGGAAGACTGGAAATTTCCCTCAGGGTATAAGTCTCTGTTGCAAGATAAGAATTATGACACAGCAGGTTGCTGGCTCCAAGACAGACTAGTTACTGATTGCTATGTAAAGATACTGAGAATTGCTGTACAAAGGAATGTTTGCTAAGATCAAACTGTTGTTGATAGGACCACTTAATTGCTTTACTGGATTGTCATCTGTCTTGTTTCACTGAAAGTTACCAGCCTATATTGTTAAACTGTAACCCCACCTTTGTTCTCTTCCTGTAACTTCCTGGTCTGGAAAGTAAATGCAGGAAGAGAACCCCAATTTGGTGTTAGTTTCCCAAAGAAGGGCTGCCTCTCACTTGAGCATCCCAAAGGGAGATTAACCACCTTGGGGCCTCTCACTGCTCAGTAGAGATGGGCTTTGAGTGATCCTTTGCATCTCCATCACCCAGTGGAAGTGGGGTGAAAAATCCATGGGGGGCAAAGCAACGCAAAGCAACACTCTATATAAAGGGTTGATAAACTATGGCCCACAGGCCAAATCTGGCTACTGTTTGTTGTAAATAAAGTTTTACTGGAACACAGTCACGCCCATCTTTTTATGTATTACCTGTGGCTGCCTTTGAGCTACAATGGCAGAGTTAGTAGTTGTGACAAGGACCGTATAGCCCTTTACAGGAAAATCTACCAATCTCTGCTCTACAGAATTGAAATAAAATAAATTAAAAGTTAGATAAAGGGCATCTATCACAGGGCCTGGTTTTCCAAAGCCTTGCAGTTTCAAATATTGACCTTGCGGAGGACTGGAAATTTCCCTCAGGGTATAAGTCTCTGTTGCAAGATAAGAATTGTGGCACAGCAGGTTGCTGGCTCCAAGACAGACTAGTTACTGATAGTTATGTAAAGATACTGAGAATTGCTGTACAAAGGAATGTTTGCTAAGATCAAGCTTTTGTTGATAGAACCCCTTGATTGCCTTACTGGAATGTCATCTGGCTTGTTTCACTGAAAGTTACCAGCCTATATTGTTAAACTGTAACCCCATCTTTGTTCTCTTCCTGTAACTTCCTGGTGTGGAAAATAAATGCAGGAAGAGAACCCCAATTCAGCATTAATTTCCCAAGGAAGGGATGCCTCTCGCTTGAGCGTCCCAAAGGGAGATTAACCACTCCCGGGCCTCTCACTCCTCAGTAGAGATGGGCTTTGAGTGATCCTTTGCATCTCCGTCACCCAGGGGAAGTGGGGTGACAAATCCATGGGGGGTGAAGCAACGCAAAGCAACTGATGCCTAGCACTACTGTAGACCACTAGAACTTATTTTTCTGTCTAGCTGTGATTTTTTATCTGTTGACCAACCTCTCCCTATCCCCTCTCCCGCCTCCCCTCCTAGACTCTAGTAACCACAATTTTACTCTCTGCTTCTATAGGCTCAACTTTTTTTTCCACCTGCCACATATGAGTGAGAACATGCGGTGTTTATCTTTCTGTGCTTGACTCCCCTCCTAGACTCTAGTAACCACAATTTTACTCTCTGCTTCTATAGGCTCAACTTTTTTTCCACCTGCCACATATGAGTGAGAACATGCGGTGTTTATCTTTCTGTGCTTGATTTATTTCACTTGACATAATAAGACCATTTCTGTTTACTGTGATTACTGATATGTATGAATTATTTTCTATCATGTTCTCTGTCCCCTTTTGCTATGCTTTTCCCCCTTCCCTTCTTGTCTTCTTTTGGATTGATCAAGGTATTTTTATTGTGTGTGGTGTGTTTTCCTTTTCTCCTCTCTACAGGATTGGCAGTTATATTACTTTTATAATATTACTTTTATAATACTTTGTAAAGAGTCAAGTATTCATAGCAAAATTTATGCATACTTGACTTTTTATAAGGTCTAAAGTTAATCATTATCTATATCCCCCCTTCCTCCAAATAAAAGAACATAAAGTAAAAGGTAGAGGACCACCACCAACCTAAGACCACTTTAGTTTCTTGTCTTAAGACTTCCCAGCCAAGCTTGTGTTGATATAAATTTAAAACTTAGACCTAGCCTGTGGCTGCAGACTCTTGGGGGCTATTTCTCCCCCAACCTAAAAGCAGCAATGGAGATGATTTCTTTGTTGTTTAACCCTGCCTGTAGCCAGATATTTTCTGTCCCACCTTTTCACACTGAGGGTCTCAAGTTTAGTCCAGAAGGAGAGTCCTTTATTTCAGCCATTTGCTTTCTGTGGGCCTAAGCCCTGGTCTTTTCCCTCCTTGCCTGGCCATTTATCTCAGAGTTTCAGTTTCGTGGCATCTACATTTGTCCTCCACGTCAGCCCTAATTTCTTCATTTACTCACAACTCCGGATTCTGCTTTACTCAGTTTGGCACTTGAAGATTTCTCTCACTTTATTGCAATCTCAGCAAGGCAATTTGAAAGGTATGTTTGCTGAGATTTGTTTTGAAGAGGTAAAGCTTTTTAGCATATCTAGCCGGTCCCTTTCTCTACTAAAAGCAGACAAAATCTTTTCATCTGTTGTTTACTTGTATATAGAATTGTATACCATTTATGGATTTTCACTTTTTGTTTCAATTTGTCCTGGAACTTTTTGAGTGAAAATGTACAAGTTTTCTTTCCTACAATTAGAACAGATAAGAACAAGCAGCTACAAACAGAGATGTTCATCAAATGGCTGTTTAATGATTATTTTTATTCAGAAATAACCTACTGTCAAACCACAGAATGAATTTTGCTACAACTCTTACCCAGCTAATAAGAGTTGAGAGACATGGAAAGATGTTCATGAAATGCTGTTGAATAAATAAACTGTTTTGTATAACCCCATTTCTTGTTTATACAAACATATACATATTTATATTGGAAAAATTCTGGAAGGATGTATCCAGTATTTGGGGGCGATATAATTAGGAGACATTTTTGTTTACTTTTTGTTGATCTCTACAATTATTTACAAAACTGCTTTTTAACTTGGAGTTGTGTAACAATAGAATGCATCTGTCTTGTGGGGTGGTGGAGTCCTCAAAATTGAGAGTGTCAGAGGCTGGGTGATCTCCTGCCCAGGATTGCTGTCATCTTATGATTCGAGGATTCCCATCTTATTTATTTTTTCTTCTGCGAATAGGTGAACCAATCGATGCCTCAGACAGATAAGCAAATATGCATCCCACCGGAGCTGCCAGAACTGCTGAAGCAGTTTTCCAAAGCCGCCATTCGGACCCAGCCGCAGGATCTCATCCAGTGGGCTGCAGAGTACGGGTTCCTCTCTCCCCTCCAGACCCTCGGAGGGTGGGGGTGGGGAGAGTGGGTCGTGGAAAACTGAGGAGGTTGTCATGGCTGCAGCCAGGGAGTCGGGATGATTAGCCTAACCTTTGCGATTTTCAGCTCTCTCATTGTTTGGTGCTTTAAAATCCACACAGACACCAAACCGGGCGAGGTTGGGATGCCCTCGCCTAAGCGAGCCAGATCGAGCAGTAGGACGCCAGGGTAACAGGCCAAGTGTCCTGGGGCAAACAGCAAGAATTAGATTACCACATCGCACCAGCGCACGCACACCCACCCCAGCGGTACCCTTCTCCCCCCTCCCTCCATCCTCCCTCCATCCTCCCTCCGTCCCAGTGGAAAGAAGGGCTTGGAATCTGTGCTGGGGCTTAGCCTGCCTTTCTTCCCTTGCTTCAACCAGGACCGCGTTATCCCCTCTCACCACTAGATGGCAGCAGTGCACGTGGGGGAGCGACGCGATGGCCTTGGGGTGGCTTCGGTGGGATCCGTCCAAGCTGGGCCACTCCACTGCTGTCAAAACTCTTACTTGTGCCCAACCGAAGACACTTTGTATCATGTCATTGGGGAAATTTTTGTAATTTTAAACTGATTTTTTCCCCTCAACATAAAGATGCTCACGCAGTACACATCGCATTCTGGAGAAAGGAGGCAAAGCAACGTAAAGAGGTCAAGCCCTGCTGGAGACGGTGTGCCTGAAACACAGGGACCCTCTTTCAGGAGAGGCCTCCAGAGGCTGCTCCGTGGGTGGCGCTTACACGGCAGTAGCGCTGGCCTAGACTGAAGCAGCTCTAAACAAAAAGCCTCTCCGCTATGGAATTGCTTCTTACAAACTGGCCGGCTTACAACTGAGGAGCCGGGGCTTGGGGCAGGCGTTGGGAACTAACTAGACCTGCCGGACCGTTTCCAGGCTGTTTGTCCTGTTGGATGATGACCTCCTTCTGTAGTGTTTCAGTGGGAAAGGAGGAGAACGAGAGGCTGTTGAGAGGGAGCGAGTGGGATGCGGGAGGGAGAATGTCCTCAGCCTGAGGTCGTGAGTAGGGGTACTGAGGTGGAGAGAAGGCGCGGACACCTTTGAGAGGGCACAAAATGTCACCTAGGAGGGATCCTGCAGAGCCGGTGCTCTCTGAGCCAGCTCTCGTGCTCCCGGGCTGGGCTAGGATGAAGCCTGTACAAATGGAAAGATGATAAGCCAGTGGTGCTCATAAAAAGAGACATAAATGGGGTTGCTTTGCCTCGTAATGAGCCCTGTGTAGTTTTCCATTCTACATTTTATATACTACCTCTAAGATTGCACTTTAATGTCAGAAGACTAATTTCTTTTGGCATAGACAGACATTGTTTGATGCTACACGATAGTTTAAAACCCCATTTTATTGTTCTTGTGCTGCTGTTTTATAGTAAGAAAAATGACATTTCTTGGTATTGTCCCTGACATTTATGAAAGAAAACATTCCACTGTTGTAGCCTGCTTGCTCCCATATTGTATCATGTGCTATAAATTTTTCAGACATCCATGAAAAATCAGTTCGTAGTTTAACTACAACGAAAAAGGAGAGCATGACCTAAGAGCATTCTCCACCCTACTCAGACAGGAAAAGCCCTTATCAGATGGTTTTGTGTGACTTACAAACCTACAGGCATTTTAGTGGTAAAACCCCACAAAGTATTTCTAAGACAAAATACGTATTTAGATTATCAAACAAGAATTTCCTTACATATGTGTTGTCAATGAAGAAACCACCTACCAGGCAGGACATATACTTACTTGTTTGTCCTGTGGTTGGTATCTGTGACAAAACAAATTTGCAATATATGTGTGTTAACTATGGAATTGTTCACTTTCAAATGAAGCTCAACAACCCACAGAGAAATAAATTTGTCATTACAGCCTCATTTCCATGTTCTCTAACCAATTCTGCTAAAAAGCCAGAAAACCTTGCTGCTGAGTGTCAGTCATTATCTGGGCAGCCACTTCTGTAGAATGAGGGACTGTGTATCTCCATCCCTCCCATTTACATCACTCAAGCCTGGTTATGAAGGCTGAGGACACACTCCACTTCTGTTTTCACTCTGTGCCCTCACCTGACCCAACACTGATGTGTCTGCAGAGATTTCTCATGCTCATTGTTAAAGGCGGTTTATATTTTTCTTCTGCCCTTCCTGCTGATGACCTCCAAGGGGTAACTGGAAGTATTGTTTTAGTCCATGTAGCTTTAGCTCTGAACTGCTCTGTGGCTTATTGACAGGCAATGGTTAACCCCATCATTGTATGGCTTTGACCCTAAAATGGGCTTTTATGGAATTCCTTCTGTATTCTTTCTGTACTACCTTGTTCTGGAGAAAGTAATGGGGGGAAACAAAGCAGGGAGAGGCAGAAGTTTGTCATTCAGGGATAGTCAATAATAAGGCTTATGATGGAAACAGACCCTGCCATATATCATGGTGACCCACATGTCAACTGATCAGTCCATCCCCTGGTACAGGAAGCCTCTTTCATCTGATGCCAATCCTGAAACAGCACTCAGTATTTTTTCCACATTGCCTGAAAACAAAGTCCGCTCCATAAAGCATTGGGGAGCAAACAGTTTTTACTGAAATTTTTGAGGGAAATAGAAAAGGGTTTTACTGCACACACACCATATTATATAAGGCTGTCTTAAACCCTTCTTCAGCTTGTGTTCTCTCCTGAGCCTCCATTGGTACCATACCAACCTTCTCTCCCTTCCCTGTTGAAGCCCCAAACCTCACTGACACCAGCCAGAAACCCTTCCTGACTCACCTCTGGAGCATCTCCGCCTCCTCCCCTTTCTTATGCAAGTCACTTTAGTTCTCTTCCAACTTCTCTTCCCAAGATTGCTTATTCTCACTCACTACCTGATACATATATACATAACCTGTGATGTACATGTCTGTGTGTGTGTGTGTGTGTGTGTGTGTGTGTGTAAAACACTTAGGATGAGTGATTGAAAAAAATACCTCCCATTATGCTTAAGGGAATTGCATATAAACTTTTGCTGGTTATTCCTCATCCTTAGAGAGGAACAAATCTTTGTATTCCCTAAGCCTTCTCTATACCTTAAGTGGAAAGTAACACATTCAGCCTTTTCCTGTATGTTAATGAACTAACCACAGTGTCTGGCACATAGAAGCCACTTAAATATTCTTTCCTGTACCCCCTGCCCTCAAAAAAAAGGGGGGGGGGAAGGATTCTTAAAGCATCCAGAGGCCACTGGAGTATGGGATGCTCCCCCACCATTCTAACTTTTTTTCTTGTAGTTATTTTGGGGCCATGTCCCGTGGAGAGATTCCTCCAGTGAGAGAGAGGTCTGAGCAAGTTGCTTTGTCTAACTGGGCAGAGCTGACCCCCGAGCTGTTAAAGATCCTGCATTCTCGGGTAAGGGCCCTACTGCAGCATCAAAGGTGATGTGGGGACAATGTTGAGGCTGGATGGGTACAGACAAAAGCCCACTTGTCCCTCTGCCAGTCAGCTGGCCACATAGCACCACCTTAAAATATACTAAACCATGTACTGAAAGTAAATCTTCCTTGGGGAAATAGGGATAATCATGAAATAGGCTGTAGGCTAAGTTGTCAGGGGGTCATTGCAGATTTCCCTGAAACTAACAGAATGTTCAGGGGCTAAGTGCAGTGCTAATCCCTTCTCTTCAGAAAAGTGCAGGTCTACAGTCCCTTGATGGTCTCTCTTTCTGATCAAGACCATAATATAACACCAGTCACTGACTGAGAAAGGGTGTATTGTAGTTCCCCAGCTATGCCAGGTGCAGACATAGCCTAGATTTTAGGGAAAACTCTGACTCTCTTCATAACCACATCATCCTGGAAGCTGCCCTGTGAATGGATGAGGAGGGTCTGGCTTGAGAAAGATTATGGTTTGGCCAGTGCCCAGGAAATATGGATTAGCACCACCATGTCCTGCTTTCGGATCCAGGACAGAGAGGTTTGGAGTGATTCAGGGCTGCCCTGTCCAACTACTCTGGCCCCAGAGGCTTAGAATTTCACTAGAATCTGAGGGTCAGGAAAGGTGTTGGAGTGCTTCATTTGGGCATCTGTGCCCTTATCACACTGTTGGCCAACAGCCAGCCATACTATCCCTTTCTCCTTTTAATCACCAAGTACCTTGTACAGTGAACATGGCAGAGCTTTAAAGTACCTGGGATCAAGCAACATTAGGTATTCAGACCAAACCCCTGCAGGTCATTTGTATACCCAAATAATTCCTGCAAAAGCATAAAAAGTGCATTTGAGGTCTAGTGCAAAGAATTCAGTGGAGTCTGGAAGCAAGAGACCTAATGTCTTGTTCTCATTTCTCCACTAATTAGCGGTCTCAGGCAAGTCGTCTGCCCTTAGTTTTGTTTTCAGGCTGTCCCATCTGCAGTATAGAGACAACCTAGAAATAAAACAGCAGATAATAAAAGCATCAGAAAAAAACTAAACTGTAATAAAAATGTGTATCTTTCCCATAATCCTGAAATCTGAAGTTTAAACATTATTAGATTCTTTTTCAGCATTCTCTTCACTAGACCTTGCACAGAGAACTGCCAACGAGAGTCCTCTTTTACCTCCCTAACATCCCCCTCTGCCTCTTGCTGTTGCTGGGAGAACTCGGGGCCCAGTCTGGGGAGGTGTTTTTCAGGCCTTCTCTCATCCTCTCCCTCATCCTCTGTGTCATGTCTGTCTCCTGCCCTGCAGGTTGGTGGCAGACTGATCATCCATGCAGAAGAGCTGGCCCAGATGTGGAAGGTGCTGAACCTCCCGACAGATCTGTTTAATAGTGTGATGAATGTGGGTCGCTTCACGGAGGAGATCGAGTGGCTCAAGTTTTTAGCTCTTGCTTGCAGCTCTCTCGGAGTTGTAAGTTAACTTTATTGTTTTTTGTTCCTTAAAGTAAAATCTCTCTCTGGACCTGGAAGGGCAGTACATCCGCACACACAATCAACTCTCCAGGGCTGCTGGTGGGCATGCCTCTTTTAGTCTCCTCCCTCTCTTTTTTGAACTAAGGTAATTTCTGTGCTCATCAGCCAGAAGCAGGAGTTAGGAGAAGAGAGGGAAAAATTATTATCAGGCTCTGGAGAGAGTTGATGAAAGTGTGGCTTTTGGATTATTTATGAATTTCAATCATTGCCCTCAGATTTATTTTCCCTCTACTCCCCTGCCTCCATTCATATTGCTAGAGATGACCAAGAGCCAGCGGTAGAATAAGACTTGCTTCTTTGTAGGTTCCAGACACCTAGAAGATAGAAGATATACCAATAAAGACTTTTTTTTTTTTGTCTTTTTCGTGACCGGTAAGGGGATCACAACCCTTGGGGTGGGGTCGCCCGCACCGCGCTCAGCCAGTGAGCGCACCGGCCAGTCCTATATAGGATCCGAACCCGTGGCGGAAGCGCCGCTGTGCTCCCAGCGCTGCACTCTCCCGAGTGCGCCACGGGGTCTGGCCCCCAATAAAGACTTTTAAAAAGTAGAAAACTACTATTTAATAAACACAATTGTATGCAAAAATCAGAGATAAGGAAGCAAGAAAAAAGAAATGAGGCTATTTCTAGACTTACAGTCATGATATAACCATGGATCCAGGATGTTCATACAAATTCATGCCTTTTCCAAATTTGACTTGTTTGACAACTGGAAAAGCCATTTTCTTGTGTTGAAGAAAAAGATACTGAAACCAGTTTTTATATTCATATATATGTGTGTGTGTGTGTATATATATATGAATCATTCAGCATATCTAAACACAATCTTGTTCTTTCTTTTCAAATATGCTTGGAATACATATTTGACACTTTTGTTTCTGGGAAAATTTAGCAGAAATATTGTAGTCCAACTTTACTGTGGGTTTCCTGTGCAACCTTTATCATAATCCTTCTTTAGAGAGAAGGAAAGGAGAGGCCATTTGTGGTTATTGCGTCTTTTTCTTCCTTGTCCTTTATACCAACATTTTACAATGAATACATTACTATCCACCAAAGAGGACAGGAAAACACAGCAGGGGCAGGTGAGTTATCAATCAGGACTGATCTCACTTCTATTAAAAAAGCCTCGAGGATTGGAGCAAATCACAAAAGGGAAAGTAAAAAATTGACACATTTTATTAAATTCTCACAGGGTTACAAATTTATTCACACCACATTCAAAGATGTTTTGGGGGGAAACACGCCTTTTTATCTTATCTGTAGTTCATTCTGATCTTGATCTACCCCACCCATTGATCCAATCCAGGAATTTTTTAGTTTGATGCAATAACTGAAGCCGCATAAAGATAAACTGTCCAGCCCCTCAGGTTTCTCCTCACCACGTCCTTTTCTCCGAGATGGCAATTGAGTGTATAGGGAAAGGGGTGACCCTAGGACGCCAGCCAGATTGGATTAGGGCCCACCCTAATGATTCATTTTAACTTAATTACCTTTTTAAGGTCCTTTCTCCAAATACAATCACATTCTCAGGTTCTGGGTATTAGGGCTTCAACAAATGAATTTGGGGGAGGGGGCAACAATTCAGCTCATAACAGCACCCCAAGAAAAAGGGCAACAGAACAAAGGCAGAAGGGGAACAGAGTTTTGAGAGAAGCAGAGAGGATGAGGAATTATGACGTTCTGTGCACACGCTCCCACCCCCTCTGAATTAAGTGGAAGCCTCTGGAATGATGCCATGCGCAGTGCTCCACAACGCTTTCCATGAGAGAGCCCCAGTAGCAGGAGAAAGTAAATGAAAGTGACCTGCTGCAAAGCCAAAATTTCTTTAACGTCGTGTGGTTTATTATTTTTAAATTAGTTTTAAAATTACTGAAGATTCTATTTCATAAAATAGCAATTTTTTTTTTTTTGGCGGCTGGCCAGTAGGGGGATATGATCCCTTGACCTTGGTGTTACAATACTGTGCTCTAACTAACTCAGCTAACCAGCCAGCTATAAAACAGCAACTTTTGTTAAAAGTAAATATGCAATATTTAAATATTAACTCAATCAAAATTAATAGTAATTAATTAATGCATATAATGTTTACATTATTTGCCATCAAGTAAAACTGTCACTCCAGAAGATGGGCCAAATTTATTCACATCCTCCTATACCTCCTGACATACAGATGTACACCCCTGGGTAACACACACCACAGTGAAAGGAGCACCATCTAGACACTCATTCTATTGAGGGAGAGGATGAGAGCAGAACAGCAAACATCAACTGCCAAGGAAGTTCGAGTCTCGTCTGGCCAGCCATGTGGGAGACATAGCAGCTACTGTTCATTCACGCAGCCACACCTAGTTCACCAGGACTGATTTTTCACTGATCCCTGGAAGGTGTGTAAGGATGTTCTGTACATCATCAGTTTCAGTAAACCACCAAGAGGTACAGGCATATCTCAGAGAGATTACAGGTTTGGTTCCAGATCACCACAATAAAATGAATATCTCAAGGAAATGAGTCACATGAATTTTTTGGTTTCCCAGTGCATATAAGAGTTATGTTTACACTATAGTCTACTAAGTATGCAACAGCATTTATGCTTTAAAAAATCATGTCCATACCTTATTTAAAAAATACTTTATTAACGGAAATCATGACATCTCATTTTGGAGCCTGCTGGCCACACTATAAAGAACAACTTGTGAAAAATAAAATAAAATAAAATAAAATAAAATACTTTATTGCTAAAAATGCTGACAATCATCCGAGCCTTCAGTGAGTTCTACTCTTTTTGCTGGTGGAGGGTCTAGCCTCGATGTTGATGGCTGCTGACTGATCAGGGTGGTGGCTGCTGAAGGCTGGTGTGACTGTGGCAATTTCCTAAAATAAGACAACAATGTAGTTTGCCATATCTATCGACTCCTCCTTTAATGAAAGATTTCTCTTTAGCATGTGGTTCTGTTTGTTAGCATTTTATCCACAGCAGAACTTTCAAAATTGGAGTCACTCCACTCAAATCCTGCTGCTACTTTATCAACTAAGTTTATGTAATATTCCAAATCTTTTGTGTTCATTTCAACAATTTTCACAACATTTTCACCAGGAGTAGATTCCACCTCAATAAACCACTTTCTTTGCTCATCCATAAGAAGCAACTCCTCATCTGCTAAAGTTTTGTCATGAGATTACAGAAATTCAGTCACATCTCCAGGCTTCACTTCTAATTCTAGTTCTCTTGCTATTTTCACCACATCTGCAGTTACTACCTCCACTGAGTCTTCAACCACTCAAATGTCATCCATGAGGGTAATAATAAATTTCTTCCAAACTTCTATTAATGTTGATATTTTGACCTCTTCCTATGACCTCTTCCCTATCAAAAATGTTATTATTGGCATCAAGAATGGTGAATCCTTGGGCCAGCCCAGTGGCGCACTGCTACAGTGCGCTGCTTGGGAAGCGCGGCGGCGCTCCCGCCGAGGGTTCGGATCCCACATACAGACTGGCCGCTCACTGGCTGAGCGAGGAGTGGGGGCAACACCGAGGGTTGCAATCCCGTTGCTGGTCCCGGTCCGGTACGGGCGCGACACTGAGGTTTGCGATCCGTTGCCAGTCACGAAAAAAAGACAAAAAGACAAAAAAAAAAAAAAAGAATGGTGAATCCTTTCCAGAAGATTTTCAATTTACTTCACCCAGATCCATCAGAGGAATCACTATGCATGGCAGCTATAACCTTACAAGATTTATTTTTTAAATAACAAGACTTGAAAGTTGAAATTCTTCTTTGATCCATGACTGTAGAATGGGTGTTATGTTAGCAGGCATGAAAACAAAACTATTCTCCTTGTACATCTTCATCAGAGCTCTTGGGTTACCAGAGGCATTGTCAATGAGCAGTAATATTTTGAAAGGAATCTTTTTTTCTGAGCAGTAGGTCTCAACAGAGGGCTTAAAACATTTAGTAAACCATGCTGTAAACTGATGCACTGTCATACGGGCTTTGTTGTTGTATTTATAGAGCATATGTGGAGAACCCTCATTCTTAAGGGTTCTAAGGTTTTCAGAATGGTAAATGAGCATTGGCTTCAACTTAAAGTCACCAGCTGCATTAGCCCCTAACAAGAGAGTGAGTCTGTTCTGTGAAGCCTTGAAGCCAGGCATTGACTTGACTTCTCTAGTTGTGCAGATTCTAGATGGCATCTTCTTCCAATAGAAGGCTGTTTCATCTACATTGAAAATCTGTCTGTTCTGTGAAGCCTTGAAGCCAGGCATTGACTTGACTTCTCTAGCTGTGCAGATTCTAGATGGCATCTTCTTCCAATAGAAGGCTGTTTCATCTACATTGAAAATCTGTTGTTTAGTGTAGCCACCTTCATCAATTATCTTAACTAGATTATGTGGTTTGAATGTACCCCAATATGGTGGTGGAAGGTGGGTGCTTTTAAGAGATGATTGGATCATGAGAATTGTGCCTTCATGAATGGATTGATCCATTCATGGAGTAATGGGTTGATGGTTTAATGGGTTGTCATGGGCATGGTTCTGATGACTTCATAAGGAGAGCTAGTGAAAAGGTTAGCTTGTTGCTCAGGCCATCCTTGCCCAGTGACACCTTGTGTTACTGTAGACAGTCACCACCAAGAAGAAGGCCCTTACCAGATGTGTTACCTGGACCTTGGACTTCCCAGCCTACAAAATGTCAGAAATAAATTTCAGTCCTTTATAAATTACCTAGTTTTAGATATTCTGTTATAGGCAACAGAAAGGGACTAACACATTAGATCTTCTACATAACCTGCTGCAGCTTCTCCAACACCTGCTGCGTCACCTTTTACTTTTATGTTATGGAGATGGCATCTTTCCTTAAACCTCATGAACTAACCTCTGTTAGCTTCAAATTTTCCTTCTGCAACTTCCTCACCTCTCTCAGCTCTCAAAGGATTGAAGAGAGGTAGGGCCTTACTCTGGATTAGGCTTTGGCTTAAGGGAACATTGTGGCTGGTTCTATCCAGACCACTAAAACTTTCTCCATGTCAGTAATAAGGCTGCTTCACTTTCTTATCATTCGTGTGTCACTGGAGCAGCACTTTTAATTTCCTCCAAGAACTTTTTCTTTGTATTCACAACTTGGCCAACTAGCACAAGAGGCCTAGCTTTGGGCCTCTGTCAGCTTTTCTACATGGCTTCCTCACTAAACTTAATCATTTCCAGCTTTTGATTTAGAGAGGTATGCAACTCTTCCTTTCACTTGAACCCTTCGAGGCCATTGTAGGATTATTAATTGGCCTAATTTCAATATTACCATGTCTCAGGGAAAAAGGAGGCCCAAGGACAGGGAGAGAGATGGGGGAATGGCCAGTTGGTGGGGCAGCCAGAACACACACATTTATCAAATTCACTGCCTTCTATGGGTGCTGATTGTGGTGTGCCAAAACAATTACTATAGTAGCATCAAAGATCACAGACCACCATAACAGGTATAACTATGAAACAGTTTGAAATATTGCAAGAATTACCAAAATGTGAGACACAGACACACAGTGAGCACATGCTGTTGGAAAAATGGCGCCAATAGACTTGCTCAACACAGGGTTGCCACAAACCTTCAATTTGTAAAAAGCACAGACACAGAATCTGTGAAGTTCAACAAAGTGAAGCACAATAGAATGAAGTATGCCTGTGTATGCCCACCCATTTCTGCTAATTCAGAGCTAAACCGGCCTTTCCTTGAATTATTCCTTTCCTTCATCCCATCATTTCACAACTCTTCAACTTGTGAAATTTATGCAAAGGGCAGATTCATTTAAAGATATAGGATCTGAACATGATTGTGTAATGTTCAAGTTCCATTATGAGGAGTGTTTACTTCTGTAGCAACCTTTCCATCAAAACTTCTGGCACTCATCATTTACCAATTTTTTCTCAGCAACAACAGGGTTAGTATTACGTAATATTAAGTATGAGATGATTCTATTTAGATGGATCCACATATTTTAGAAGAATGACTTTTATCTTGATGTGCAGCACCATATTCCCAGCATCTGGGACTCCTACCTTCCTAGGGACATTACCCTTCAAGAGAACTTCTTCCCTGCTGTGGCACTGTGACAAGTATCTTGCTGAAGTATGTACGCTAGACTAATTACCTCAACCCTTCTGAGATAACATTGGAGGACAATAATAGTAAGAAATCATCCTAATTTTATAGAATGCAAAATAAATTCACCTCCTCTAGTGAGGTTATTCTGATTAAAGTAACAACTACATTAAAGTATTCAGCAGTTTATAAACTTAATTCCTTGGAAGTAGCCCTCCAACAAAGAAAGAGAAAAGATACCTAGTAGATACTCAATATTTTTTTAGAATGAATTAAGTGACATTTGAATTTTAAAATTTCAAGTTTTCTAGAATTATAAGTCATTCCCACTTCATTTTATGAGAGCAATATTTTGGGGTTTTTTTCTAAACTGATCTCAGGAATCTAGCCTGAAAAAGTGACTTTCTCCTCATTTCGTCTTGCTGCTTTATAGACCATTGCCAAAACTCTCAAGATAGTGTGTGAAGTTTTATCATCTGACCGTGATGGTGGACCTCCCCGGATGCCTTTCAGCACCTTCCAGTTTCTCTACACATATATTGCTGAAGTGGATGGAGAGATCTCAGCATCACATGTCAGCAGAATGCTGAACTACATTGAACAGGAAGTGTAAGTAGACTTTTACCAATCGGGGGTAAAAGAATACCAGCAAGAAAATCCAGCAAACCAAGATATAGTGAAGTTACTATATTATTCTGTTCTGGGAACAGAGAAATATTGTGAGGAACATAAAAGACTATCAGAATGGGAAGGGCAAGGAGAAGGGAAAGGATGGTACAGGACAGTGATTCTTGGAGTGCTACTGAGACCAGCAGCATCATCACCTGGAAACATGATTAAAATGCCAACTCTCAGGCTGCCCTCTGGACCTGCTGAATCAAGAAGTCTGGGGTGAGACCCAGGAACCTGAGTCTTAGCAAGCCCTCCAGGCGACTGACTCATGCTTGGTTTTGACTAGCAGAATACTAGTGGAGGAGGAGGAGCAGGCAGTCAAGGGTTAAGAGAAAAAGAAAGAAGGGGATGGGGGCAGGAGCAGCAGCAGAACTAGTTGGTAGTGAGAGAGTTGCTTACATATTGTCTTTCTTAAGACTAATTGTTAAATGAACTAACCCCAGATATATATTTTTCCAAACAGAATTGGTCCTGATGGTTTAATCAAGGTAAATGACTTTACCCAAAACCCCAGGATTCGGCTGGAGTAAAAGCACAATTTTGGCGATTTAAAAGAAGATACAGAGATGATTATACTTCAAAATGACTGAATCCCCACATACCATCCAAAGTCAGTTTTCTTGTACAACTGGTACACACTAATAAACAATTAGGCAAACATGTGAAATCAGAAATGTATGGAATTAAGATATAAAATTGTTGGAACGAAACACATAGGTTACTAGGAGATTAGTATTCTTCCCACATGGACACTGAGTAAAATATCTAAGGAAGCATGGACAGAAAACACATTTCAAGTCAAAGCCAAAATTTCAGATTTGAAAAGGTAGAATGTTAAGCAGATAATTTTGTGATTGCTAGGTGTAATTTAGGTGAGTATCTTTTACATGGTCAATCAATGTTTTTACCAGTTTATTTCTCCATTTGTTGGTACTATGCAAGTCATTCATTCATTTACTTACCGATGTTTATTGAGGTTAGCTATGTGCCAGGAATAGGATTGTTAAATTTAAATTTCAGATAAACAGCAAATAATTTTTTTAGAGTTTGTTGTTTTGTTGTTGTTGTTGTTGTTCACTAATCCTGGCAATCCTAGCCAGCAACTATGCTGGCTTCTGGGAATGTTTATTGAGGTTAGCTATGTGCCAGGAATAGGATTATTAAATTTAAATTTCAGATAAACAGCAAATAATTTTTTTAGAGTTTGTTGTTTTGTTGTTGTTGTTGTTCACTAATCCTGGCAATCCTAGCCAGCAACTATGCTGGCTTCTGGGCATATAAAAACAAATCATATCTGAATTCTGCCCTCAAGGAGCTCATAGTCTAACTCTAAGATCAGACATGAACATAAATCACTTTAATGCCAGCGGCCATGAGAAGTACTAACAGAGTAGTCCAGAAATCATTATTAAAATATCAATGTCAAGAGATTTTTCCGAAACCGTATACAGGCATAATGGAACCCTCTAGGGAAAATCCCTTGCATAAGCCTCAGATGATCTGACAAGGTCTTAAAGATCTTTTTCTTCTTCAAAGGAAGCAGATGAGATTAACAGGCTGTGATTATTATCCTTAACGCCAGGTATGCCAAGGTCGCTGGATCAGTCCCTTGTATTTGTAATACTATCCCCTCTTAAAAGTTGTTTCTGCTCAAAAATCATATTAGATTGCATGCATTTATCTCTCCACATAAATTGGGCTAAATCTTGTGAATTAGTGTCTAAATAAATAAAAGGAGGCTGTGATTGGATGTCACTTTGGGCCCTTGATTTCTGCCTACGGTGAAACAATAAAAAGGTAAAACAAATTCTTCCCCCCACAGTCACTGGGCTGCACCTGCAGGGGGTGGGCAACAACTAATCCTGCCTGCTGTCTGCCTTCCTAGCCAAAGCGGCCCATCATTTATATCCATGCTGGGACTTAAGGCTGTTTGAAAAGGCTAAAGCACTGCAAGTGAAACCTGGCACTGTAATTAATCAGGACTAGAAAATGAGTAAAATCCTTTAACCTACCTCAGTTTCTTGGTGTCTCTCAATTTCTCTTTCATTGTGGCCAGAGAATTGAAATATGGTCTTGCCTGGGAATAGAGCATGAAGGAGGGCAGAGAGGGCAGCCCCAATTTGAAAGACACTAAAATAATAAAGTTCGTAAACATAACAAAAGCAAAATGGTCTTTGGTACATTTGAGAAAACAGATTGAAATCAGAAACTAAATCTCAGTAGCCCTGAGCATAATCCTCAAGAGTGAGGCTAATGAAATTCCAGCCATTGAAGTGTGTGTTGGACACAGATATGCAGTTATCTGTGCTACCATAGCTATCTGTGCTTACTGAGACTAAGCACAATCGGCAATACTGTTGTCACACTGCCAATTGTTCCTCTTCTAAGCCACCACTTGGTGTCCACCGTTTTCTTCCTCTCCTGCTCTGGTTCACTGCACAGTGCTTCCTTCTAATTTATTGACATTGCTAAGCCACAGCTGCTCACCAGAGACACAGCCTCCACAGCGCATCTGCCAAATCAGCCTGCTTCAGCAGTGAGCCCGAAGGTGGAGAACGGCTTTGCCCTCCACCTGGGCTATATCATATTAACAATATTATAAATACCGTATTAATGATATTAGCCAACATTTATTGAGCACTTGCTATATGTGAGCCACTCTGTACAATACTTTACGCACATTCTCAAATTTTTCTCTACAATCTGATCTTACAAAGTCAGTGTCATTATCCCCATTTTATAGATGAGGAAACAGAGAAATTAAGTTGTTCAATGTCACTGATGAGAAAGAATTTGGGTGCAGGTCTAACTCCAAAAACCTGTGCCACCTTGTATTATGCTCGATGCCTGTCTAGGTATGGGGTTTCTCCCCAGAAACAATCCCTGAGACAGGGATTTAACTGCCAATGGTTTATCTGGGAAACAATCCCAGGAACAGTTAAAAGGGAGTAGGAAGAGTAAGATAGTAATGGGAAGAAAGCCAATAAAGCATGTATTATCCATCCAGTTACCCCTGGACCTCAATACTGCCGGGGAACTCTGGGAGACAGTATAGAACATGTCTCAAAGTTATCCCAGTCTGAGGGGTGAGAAAGCCCTTTACCCATCGTTGGCTAAGGGCTGCTTCCTCACCAAATCCCCATTTGTCATTGACTGAGGACTGCTTCCAGTGGCATTAACTTTCTACATTTCTGGCAGAAAAAAAGTATTGCTTCTTTTGTTGCAGAAAAAAAGTCTCACAGGCAGGAAGTCATAAGTGTTCACAATAAGCGGCCAACAGGATCTGCTTCAATGCCTTACAGAGATTTTAATAAAACAAATTTCTGACATTTTAATCACTATGAATGTTTCTCTCCTTGGGTCAAACACAAGTCCATGGAGGCTGCAGGGCAGTAGTGACTGACATTGTGCTGTTATCAAAAGACACACCTAACCACACACCTGGCTCATTGTCCCCAACCAACTATTTCTTCCTTGCGATGAGATCATTCCAAAGGGGCTCTCTTGATCCTTGCTGCCAACAGACCCATCCCACTGGCCTTCCTATCATGATCGGCAATATCTGAATCCTAGCGTGATCCCAATTAAGCTGTCAAACTGAGACCCTTGTAATATATGGTTTGTATTTCTCCCTTAAAAAGAAAAAACATTCAGGAAGCAATAAAGTCAGGATTTTATAAAGAAAAAGAAGTGGGTTCTCTTTCTCCTAAATTAAGCTATTTTGATTAAAGTGAAGACTGCAGATACATTTAAAACTTCAGTGGGAAATGCAAAGATTATGGCTCAATTCCATCTTCTCTGTGTTCCAAGCCTTTCCCCTCCTTGATGCTGTTTGGTTAGGGACCTACCGTCCCTAGTTAACCACCAGCTTTCAGGATAACCAGGGCCCTGCAACAGAAGGAACTGAACATTTCAGTGTGGAAGGCTGGTGTTGAATTAGGTTATAAAAGTAATCTTACTGAAATCCTTGGAGAGGCTTCTGAATATTTCAGAAATGTGCACATTAGCATTTTTCTGAGAAAAAAAATGGCAGAGCTTTTGGCAAATTCTCAAAGTTGTATATGATCTCAAGGGGTCAAGAACTCTCGGGTTCAAAATAACTCCAGAAAGTACCAAATGGCTTGAGGAAAGGCAACAGGTCAGTCTCTCAGATCTTTCCAAGCAGAACGGGGCTCATGCTCCCAACATGTGACTTACTATCAGCAGGCTCTTACTTTTTGAATCTTATATCCAGGCTGTAAATCTGTATTTTTAGTTTAGATCTTCATATACTTGCAACTTTGGTTGTTTCTATAAACTGGAACATAGTCAAACGTAAACAAAGACTTTCACACTTTAGAGGTGAGCCAATTGGAAAAGTCATTGGTCCAATGTGCTGCATTAGAAAAGACTGGGTAGACCAAGCAGAGTTGTGTGCACGATACTAGAGGGAATAAACCTCCAGATCAGGCTCAAAAGGGTAGTACTGGGTGGTGATCCTGAGTCTCAAGCATTCAGTTAGCTGTCAGACCCAATGTACCAAAGCAGGCCAAACAATGGTTGGTTCATTTATTTACCCAACAAATGATTTTAAAATCCCTACTATGAGCAAGGCATTCTGCTAGGCACTGGGGATACTGCTCTGAACAAGATAAGGTCCCTTCTTTAATAAAGATTAAATTCTGCTTGGGAAGACAAACATTACGTTAACACACAATTATAATTGCAAGAAATGGTGCTATGACATCATAGTACAGGGGCACATGGCCTAGTTTGCAGGGGTAGGATAGAGAAGTGGAAGGAAAGGCTTTCTTGAGGAAGTAGGCTGAGAGCAAACTCAGAAGCCTCTGGCGTCAGCTGCCACAGATAACTCAGAAATGTACATCTGTGGCCCACACCTCTTTGCCAAGCTCCAGACTCAAATGTCCAGTAGCCGGAATCTCCTCGTGGATGACTCCAAGGCACTCCCTAATTCAACATGTCCCAAAATAGCTTCCTAGTTTGCATTATTTTCATAATAAACGTAAATACCTTCCCCTTGCCTTACTTCCCAAATCTATTACCGTGTCCTATCCATTTTACTTCCTATGCTTCCCTTGAATCTCTCCTCTTCATCTCTCCTTCCAATCCCCACCCACTTCCCCCATTTCCACCCACCTCCTCATATTTCATCCGGACTTCCTATCAGTTTGGTCCTGGTAGGAAACAGAAGACGCTCAGCTGAGATTCTGAAGATAATTTTAAAAAGGTTTACAGAGGTGTGAACAAGGAAACCAACAAGGGGTCTTGAGGCACCCAGGGACTGGCAAACCATTATCATCCCTAAAACTGAAGGGATAAGGGGAGGAAATGTTTTCCTGGAGCCTGGAGAGAACTGGAGCCCCAGAGGCTCCCCTGAGAGCTGTTGTTGCAGAGGGCCACTGGTGCTGAGATGGGTAGAGTACCCCAATCTCTCTCCTCCTTTTCTACTGACCAAACTGAACCCAAAGCTGGAAGGCAACTTTGCAGGCCGTAGGGTCTCTGTTGCAACTACTCAATTCTGCAGTTGTAGCACAGACAATAAATAAACATGAGTGTGGCTGTACTCCAATAAAATTTTATTTATGACACTGAGATGATTTTCATGTAATTTTCATATGTGACAAAATATTGTGTTTTTTAAATTTTTTTAAAAAATATTTAAAAATGTGAAAACTTCTCACAGACTGTACCAAAAAACGACAGCAGACTAGATTTGGCCAGAAACTGTAGACTTCGGACTCCCGCTTTACACTACAGCCAGCGATCTTGGTGAAACATCAGTCAGTTCATGGTGCTACCTGCTTAAACTTTTACACATTCCCATTACCTTTAGGATAATAACCCAAATGTGGCCTATGGGGACTGCATAGTCTGACCCCTACATACATTTCCAACCACACTGTCTATACGGCAGCCACAGGCCCTCTCACGATTCTTCTTACTTTATATCATGCTGTCTCCACATGTTTAGAATACTCTTCTCTCCGCACTCCACCTAGCTCATTTTCAGATCTCAGTTCACTGCAGCATTATTTTATAATAGCAAATAACAAACCAAAAAAAAAAGGGGGGGGGCCATAAAATTCCAAACAGTAGGGAAATGGATAATGGAACACCAGGTAGCCATTTTATCATTGAAGATTAATGAGGAACAATGTTGATGAGATATTAAGAGAAAACACTCATGTCACAGTAATATGTATCATATCATATTGTTATACATATATACGGGTGGAAAAAACCTGGAAGGGAATGCACCAAACTGTTAAGAGTGGTAATCCCTGGGTAGTGGGATTACAGACGATTTTTTTCTTTTTGTTTATCTATCTTTTCTAAAATAAACATGCATTAATTAAGAAAAACCAATAAAAATTTAAAAAATCAATTTATGTAGGAAAAAACTCTGGAATCTCATGTTGTTACAGGCACCAAGTTTGGCTGCCCTTTCACCAGAAACAAAAGACTCGAAAGTCTGATGTTGATAGAAGGATTATTATCAGGTGCCTGAGCAGACAGCCAAACTAAAATGGTCTCAAAAGCTCAGGGGCCTCAGCAACGTTTTTAAAGGGAAAAGTGTAGAGGTGGGGAAGGGAAGGTTATTCCCATCAGGTAGCTGCTAGTGCAGCCTCGCAGACTCTGGGCTAGTCATTATCTCAAGGTCAGTCCTGTAACTCTTCAACTTATCCTTGAAACACGGGTGTCATCTGGTTCCCACAAGCTGGATGGCACTAAATTCTGCATCAATTTCCCATGAGCTATGCTATAAGTCAAAGTTAGAAAAAGACTGGGCCGGCCCGGTGGCGCACTGGATAGTGCGCCGCTTGGGAAGTGTGGCGGCGCTCCCGCCCGAGGGTTCGGATCCCACATACAGACCGGTTCCCGCTCACTGGCTGAGCGAGGCGCGGGAGCAGTGCTGAGGATTGCGATCCCGTTGCCGGTCCCCGGTCCGGTACGGGGGCAACACTGAGGGTTGCGATCCGTTGCCGGACACGGAAAAAGACAAAAGACAAAAAAAAAAAAAAAAAAAAGTTAGAAAAAGACTTCTTTATGGCTAGCAGTACGCTTAAAGCTATATGCTGCAAACTGGCTCTTCTAAGGGTAATTATCTATGACTATTTGCTTGTGGGCTCTTACAAGTTTAATATGTTAAAAATTCACGAGAGGGATGGGGAAGGAAAGGTTTTCACAGTTTAAACTAACTCAAAACTAAATTTACCAAATAAATACTCAAGTTTCCTAAAATTACTCAGTATGAAAGTGTAATATATTGGTGGAATGTGTAATATATTGGTAATATATTGCAATCTATAATAGATTTTAGTTCCTGAGCTTTGCTATTAATTGTAACAGACTTTTAAAAGGTAGTTCTTTTTCCTATTTAAAAAAATAGAATCAACTGAGTTATTAGTTTCTCCCCAATTTGACTTAAAATTTAACCCAAAACTAAAGGCCTTAATAACCAATGTCTAATCCCCATTAAAATTAGTGCAGCACGTCAATGGGTAAGAATACTGTCATTCTTCATTAACAGTAACTACCTAGACAGAAGTACCATGGAAGTAAAACCACAGTCGCGATTAATGGGCACCGTTCTGAGATCAGTGGCCACAGTGAATAATTTTGAACCCGCCATCAGAGTCATGTAAAGATTACAATCCCAAAGTTTGATTTTTATTGAATATCAAGAACAAAATCATTCAAAAAGGCGTACAAAACTCCGAACTAAAAATGAAGAGCTAACACCCAAGAGTCGAGCGCAATTCCTCCTGACAAGAACTCGTCAATCTCTACCCCAGTCTCTTCCTCTGGCGCTGGCGGGACCTGGTCCCCCAGCAGTCCTCCATCACAAGCCCTCGGAACAGGACTCCAAACTCATCAAGCGTTCAGGGCCGGGATCCGCCCAGCCTAGCGCCTAGGCTCCTGGCCCCGTCCCTCCCTCTTGGCCCCGCCCCGTTCTTCGGCTTTCTGCACCCTCCGCCTTTGTGTGACGAGCGCGGGAGCGGGAGGGGCCTATTGCGCACGCCCAGAGCGCCAGGCCGGGAGCCGGAGAAGGGCCATGACGGCGCGCCGGTACTATGAAGCGCGGAGTTCGGCGGGCTCCTTCCCGGAAGCGGAAGCTCGGGGGACGGGCCAAGGAGGACCGGGAACCCACGGCGGTTAATTCCTTTTGCCGTGTGGCTTCACTTCCCTACGTCTGGGCTTTTCTGAGGCTGCGGGAGATGGTCAGGTCCGGATCTCGACCGGGCCAGGTGAGGGCTGCGGACCTGAGGGGTGCACTATGGGGCCGGAAAGGGACTGAGGGGGTTTTTGGCCCGGGAGGCGTGTAAAACTCTGCTTGAAAAAAATAAAAACAGAGAAGGCGGCTGCATTAAAAGTGCTGGGACAGGGGGAGTGGGGAGACACTTAATCTTCCCGTCCTCACACAGCCGCTCCGTCCATTTAAATCGTCGTCGCCCTGCAGAGCGCTGGCTTCGGGGCGAGCCCCAGCCATCGCCGCTCGGTCGAGTGGCTTAACGTCTCCTAGCTTCAGTGCATCGTTGCAACAAATGCAGCTTCCCAGCTCCTCCACGAGCGCCACTGTTAGCGGATCTTTCGTCACTATTGCTGGTGGTTTTTTTTATCGCCGCTCGGTCGAGTGGCTTAACGTCTCCTAGCTTCAGTGCATCGTTGCAACAAATGCAGCTTCACAGCTCCTCCACGAGCGCCACTGTTAGCGGATCTTTCGTCACTATTGCTGGTGGTTTTTTTTTTTTTTTTTTTGCAAGGTGACTTCTAAAAATTCGCTATTACTGGAAAAAATTTTGCGGAGATACCATATTATCTCATCACTACAAGCTTCTGTTCTTCATCAGAAAGGGTGGTACTAAAATTCCTTGGATAAAAGAAAGTTTCACATTTTCAAAATTCATTGTCCACGGAATTTGTAAACCAAATCTGTGTAACTAGATTAAAAAGGCATTCATGTAAAAGACATGGAGGAACACAAAAATGCAAGTAATAGCTGAATAACCAGGCTTGGAAAGCCAAGATGTGTTTCTGGAGGTTGGGGACCACACCAGATTTTCATCAAGACACTGTCCTTAACAGAAAAATGTATAAATTATTTTCTTCCTTGTACCTCAAATGCCTGCCCCTCGTTGCAGCTAAATGATTCAGCTTAAAATCCGACTCGTCTTTTTCAAGGTAAATCCCATTCTTTGGCCTGGCAACACAGCCATTTTTGATCCTTTTCAGCCCCCGCTTGTATTCCAGTCATGTCCTGCACTGTTTACCTGTTTGCCCTGCACTCCCCTGGGTGCTCCACACCCTCTTATGCTTCCATTCCTTTGCACTCTTCTGCTCAGAATGCCCTTCTGTGCCTGATATTGCTACTTTCCATCTCCTATTCCTCAGCTGAAGGGCCATCTCTAGAAGGCTTGCCTAGCACCCTCACCTCTCTATTGGTTGGGTGCCCCTCAATCCCCGTTTTGCACCTTGTAATAACCTTTATCAAACCACTTTTCAGGCGAAAGGCGTTGCTACTCTATCTGCCTCTGCTACTAGACTATTTTGTCTGTATATCTTCAAGGCCTTGGACAGCACCTGGCATATGGTAGATTTTCAGGGAATGAATCAACTACTTCTCACCATAGACTCCCTACTTAGAGTGATCTTTCTATCCTTAATATATGCAGCTCTTTTTTTTCCCCTTGCTTCACATATCAACACACCTATAAAGCTGTCTTCTTCATTAGTGTAAACCTTACACTTTTTTTCAAGACCTGGCTGGAGACTAACATTCTTCATGAATACTTTCAGACCAGCCCCACTTTTATAACTCTTTCTCTTATGTTGAATGAACTCAGACAATGTGCATTCAGCAAAGAGAAAAACGTCGTTTTTGTACTTATAGTCACCTGCAGATTCAGATTCCAGTTATGCCACTACTGTTGTAGCGATGGTAAACAAACTGTTTTTTACCTCTCCGAGTCTCCTATCCCTTAGCTATAAAATAGGTACCAATAGATTCAAAATTCTGCCTCAAAGAATTTGGGAGATTAAATGAGAGAACTTGGTAAAACATCTGTCAAATTGTTGGCACAGACATGCAACAAAATTTAGTTCCCTTAAATACACTTAGTTTGCTACCATCTTATTGATGATAATAGCAACTAACATTTACTTACTGTGTGACAGCTACTAAGTGATTTTATATATTATGTATATTAACTCATTTAATTTTTACAATAGCATGTGTTACCTTCAGTGTTTTAATTCAGGGTTGGAAAGTTCAAATAATTTCCCAACAGTTACACAGCTAGTTAGCTGTGGAAACAGGATTCAGACTCACATAGCTGGTGTCAGAGTCCATTCTTTTTTTAAACATTATACTATACTTAGTAGTACATTATACTATACTTTGAACAAGCCACCCTTCTGAACTTTAGGTTCTCACCTCACAGAAATAATGACAGCTCATAGGGTGCAGATTAAGTGGAAATGAAAGGCTTTAGTACACTAAATCATTCTACAAGGGTAATATTATCTTGCATTTGTTGGTAGGAGATATGACTACTAAGAAATGCTTAGGGCCGGCCCAGTGGCGCACTGCTATAGTGCGCCGCTTGGGAAGCGCGGTGGCGCTCCCACCGAGGGTTCGGATCCCGCATGCGGACCGGCCGCTCACTGGCTGAGCGAGGGGCGTGAGCAACACTGAGGGTTGCGATCTGTTGCCGGTCACGAAAAAAGACAAAAAAAAGGAAAAAAAAAAAAAAAAAGCTTATATTCTCAAATAGCAAAATTAAAAGTTTAATGATAATACCCAGTGGAGGTAAGTGTGAGATAAAACAGGCTGACTCCCTCCTGTATTGTGATTTGGGACACACTTTTTTGGAGAGCAGTTTTGCAGTTTGTTTCAAGGACCATTAAGCTGATAATAACTTTTTACCAAGTAATTCTGCTTTTAATCCTAAACAGAAAAAGTCTATTTTCAGTATATAGAAAGGTTTATTCCAGGTTTGCTTTTTTAATTGTGAAAAATATGAAGCAAGCCAAGGGTATATTACGTTACTTCCACTGAAGGAAATATCATACAACCATTAAAATTTTTTGAATATTAATACATAAAAAGATTTAAAAGTAAAAAAACACAAGATATAAAATTGCATTATGACTAAGTAAAAATGCATATGAAAAAATATTGGCATCCTCACTAGCAAAGAGCAGATGTAATGCCTAAATCTTGTCCATTGAATGGCTTCTTAGAGAAATGACCAGCTCCAGGGCTGAGGCAGGGGAATTATAAGATCAGCCTGGATGCATCAGTCTAAAGAGCGTCTGCACAGCAAAGGAAATGATTAACAGTGAAAAGACAACTTACAGAATGGGACAAAATATTTTCAAGCCATATATCTGATAGTTAATATCTAAAATATATACAGAAGTACTTCAAAAAGTTTGTGGAAAAGTAGAATTAAAAGATAATATGAATCTGGTTGGCTGGTAGAGTGTGAACTAAGGTCAAGGGTTCAATCCCTGTACTGTCCAGCTGCCAAAAAAAAGAAAATGGGTGAAAGATAATAGGAGTCTTTCCATGAACTTTTTGATGTATCCTCATGTAAGGAATTCCAACAACTCAGAAGCAAGAAAATAAAAAACCTAATTGAAAAATGAGCAAAGGGGCTGAGCCCGTGGCGCACTCGGGAGAGTGCGGCGCTGGGAGCGCTGCGTGGGTTCGGATCCTATATAGGGATGACCGGTGCGCTCACAGCGCTCACTGGCTGAGCGCGGTGCGGCCGGTCTCAAAAAGGACAAAAAAAAAGAAAAATGAGCAAAGGATTTGAATAGACATTTCTCCAAAGAAAATTTACAGATGGCTAACAGGTATGTGAAAAGAGGCTCAACATTACTAATTAGGGAAGTGCAAATTAAAACTACAATGAAATATCACCTAACACCTGTTAGGATGGCTTATCAGAGGAACAAAAACAACTATTGGTGAGGATGTAGAAAAGTTGGAACCCTTGTGCACTGTTGGTGAGAATATAAAACCGTGCAGCCACTATGGAAAACAGTACGGAGTTTCTTCAAAAAATTCAAAATAGAACTATCATGTGATCCAGCAATCCCACTTTGGGGTATTTATCCAAAATAATTGAAATCAAAAAATCTCAGAGATATTTGCACTATCATGTTTATTGCAGCATTATTCTCAATAGCCAAGATGTGGAAACCTAAATATCTAGAGATGAATGGATAAAGAAAATATGGTATATACATACAATAGAATAGTATTCAGCCTTAAGAAAAGAAGAAAATGCTGCCATATGCAATAATAGTGATGAACCTTGAGGATGTTTTGTTTTGTTTATTGTGTTTTTTTCTAAACCTTGAGGATATTATGTTAAGTGAAATAAGCTGGTCACAGAAGGACAAATAGTACATGATTCCACTAATCTCAGGTATCTAAAATAGTCAAACTCAGAAGCAGAGAGTAAAATGGAGGTTGTTGGGCTGGGGGGCGGGGGGAAATGGAGTTGCTATTCATCTGCTATAAAGATTCAGTTATGTAGGATGAGTAAGTTCTGGAGATCTGCTGTACAACATTGTGCCTATGGTTAACAATACTGTATTTTGTTAAGAGGGTAGATCTAATGTTAAATATTCTTATGACAATTAAAAAAAAAAAAGCCTGGAGCACCTGCTTGTTACTTGTTGCAAAAAGTAAGGAACATCTCAAAAAAATGATGGGAACGTATTTAAATGATACAGGAACGAACATGAAGGGACTCCCCCTGACTAAATCTGGGACAATTTGAGCATCAAAATAGAAAGTGATAATAATGGGTCATAACCCACTGACTAAAATAGAAATCAATTAGTCTACTAGAAAGTAATCAAGGAAGAAAGAAAAGTGCTTCCCTAAAGTTGAATGCCAGCTGATAAATGTAAAAGGAATGATGTAGTTAGAAAATCACCATTTGACTAACAATTGATTCAGGCAAGAATCATCAATGGATGCTAAAACTACTGGGTTAAAGTTTGGTGACTGGAATATCTGCATAGTCTCAAAGTATCTCCCCACGAAATGCTTAATGATAACAAAAGTGAAAGTAGTAGCCTTTCGGTGAAAAGCCTGGCAGATATCATCTTTTTTTTTTTTTTTTTTTTTTTTTTTTTTTTTTTTTTTTTTTTTTTTCCGTTCCCCCAA